TATGTCGTGATAGAGACAAAATGTGGGAAGACGTTCGGCCACTCAGGTCATGGGGGCCAACTCTGATCAGCGAACTGATGATCCTAGCTCTGAGCGGCTGAGCGCCTCGGGAACGAGAACAGGAGGAGCCTGATGGCGACGAACCATACACGAGAACGCCTTCTTCTTCTGGTCTGACCATGAGATCGGAACATCTGCCTACGTCTCAAAGCAGGTAGCGATCATGCTTAGCTGAAGGGGCTCACAGGCTGAAAAGATGCTTCGTGGAGCTGATTCGCCAGACCATGCAACAACGTCGAGCGAATGGGGGCTGTGAGCCGCTGTCCCTCGACACCAAACCACGGCAGCAGATCCCAGCAGTTCAGGACAGCGCCCGATGTTGGTTCACACCCTGGTTCCACATTGTTGGCATTGTCTATTCCGCAGGCGCTGCTCTATATGAAATTGCGGCGTGGTTGATGCAACTTGTCCGCTGTCAACCAATGACGCCCCAACATTAGCGCCTCCGCCAGTTGGGTCGCCAATCATTCCCTACTTAGCCGCATATCCAACGTCCTTCACCCTCTAGGAGGTTTCCGTACCATGTCGCAACGGCGGGGTTAGTACAGACAGGCGGCTCTCGACGTCTTGACAACGCGTATACTCTAACGGCGTAGCTCCACCGTTGCCACCTCAGTAGCATGACATGCGCAGATAGATCTGTCAGCGCTGCAATCGGTGTGGTACGCACCGTCGCGGCGCGGATGACGCGTGTGGTGTGCTTTCATATAAACAAAAGTGTAGCCTGCAGGCCTCAGGTGGTACCGCTTTCAGCCCTCTGTTATCATTCAGTTTGGTTTCGGGGCGCAGCCCTTGGTCCCCTCTTCCGTTTGATTTACCCAGTTGACCGGTCTCGTTGCTACGCCGCAATAACCTTCTTTCGGTACTTGCGTCTGTCTACGGGTGCCGCCTTCTTTTACATCCTTCGCCGCCGCCATTCCCGTGCTTCTTTTCGTATTGTGCGTCTCGTTCGCACCACTGCATCACGCCTCTGCGATTTAAAATTATTACCTCTATTCGAAAGCTTGTCTCAAACTTGGCACTGTCACACCTTGACAGACATGGCTACACTCTCTGTGCCGTCGCCTAACCTGGGCTCAGCTTCATTGGGTGACAGCATCCACAGGCCACTCTCCACCCATGGCTTGCCAAAGCAGCCGCGTACAATGTCACCCGAACGACCACATCGGTTTTCAGCAAAGAGTTACCCTCCTCCAGCTCTTGTTCACACTCCCATGACACCACAGTCGTTGGGACCAATGTCTCCCCCACCCATGTCAGCAAAGTCCTTTGGGACGTTCATCGACTCAGAGCCATCGACACCAGCCTACTCACCAAGAATGGATCACGAGTGGGGCGACTCATCGGTGGTCTTAGTCCGACCTATGTCTTCGTCCTCAGAGCCATCCAGCCCTACCGAGCCTGTATGGCGCATGCTGCAACCGCTGCCAGTAAAGGCTCCGCCCAAGCCTAAGGCTATCGTCGCAAGTCCTCAATCTATGGTTGCAGCCACTACCGCCAAGGAGATCGCAACGAACACTTCGCTTTCATCACATCCTACTAAACAGGCGAGGCACATCAGTCGCCCACAAGAGATCAAGCTGGCAGATCTATCGCAGCAAGACTACACCCCAAAGAGTGAAGATATCGCAAAGGACGATGAGAAAAGGCTACAAGAACAGACTGCCAGCACTCCCACCGCGGCGACCTTTGGCAAGCTGGCGACAAAGATGAAGTTAATGTTACGAAGGAAGAACACAAACGCAAAGAAGAAAGAGAAGAAGAAGAGGCAGTACGAAGAAGTCGACCGTATCGAGGACGTCCACTGGACAGAGATGTGACATGCATCTGTGAAAAAACAAAGCGGACGCATTGTTATGTCAAAGTCTGCCAGTACTGTACTTATGACAGAGGGTGGACGTGTCAGAAGGGACGAAACACAGAGAGTGTATCGCTCGGAAGCAGGTCACATCTGGATGGCTAATAGGAATACTGAAGCTATGGTCGGGAAGGGGCGGGTACATCATCACACACGGAGATTGCTACCAATACTTATCAAGTCAGGTTAATGAGCTGCTGTTCGCCACCGTCACTCTCATCGGCGTATATGTGGCATTTTCTTGTGTCTACGGGAGGATATGGGAGGCGTTTTGGATTCTTTTGCTTTCCACAAGTTGCACAAGCAAGTAACGACGATACCCAATCCTTACAACAGTCTATTAGTAGCAACCATATCTTTTCAGTCCCTAAACTTGTTATGCTCGGTGCCAGTGTCGACACGGCAAATCAGGTTTTCTATTATCGCTCATCGCCATCGTTCTTGGTTAATTCAATGAGCTATGTACGCAAATTTTGATGATCATTGGAAGCGTCAAATCGTTGCCAAGCGCTGCTCGATTGTTCCGTGTGAAAGAGCGATCAAGCTAGCGCGTGCACAGACCCCGATTGGAATTCCACAACGCGCAACAACCCTAACACATCTCGTCCAACTTGCAGTATCACACAGCTTTTACAGGCAGAATGATTCCAAGACGGTTGGGAAACGCTGCGCGGCTCAAGTGCGCAGTCAAGGCGCAGCCTCAAGCCCGGCTGCAGAGGCCACTTGCAGCGGCGACCCGCACTTTGCGAGTACACACAGAGGGACGCATTTATACAAGTCTAGCATCACGTGCCACTGAGCAAACGCGACAATTGCACTCACGCTCTAGATGCTTCGGAATCCATGGCAAAGACACTCTCCGCGACAATGCGAGATGGAAACAGCCAACTAGGGACCCCACAACTATCCTCCTCGAGTCCGGCTTCCCAACCAAGACCGTACTTGTTCTTCTCGTGCTCGGCGGTCTAGCATACTACTTCGTCGACATCGTAGAAACGGACTGGACAGATAGCGTCTATGCGGCTTTTTCATCTGGCGATGATGCCTCCGCCCTTGCGACACCTCTCCATTTCTACAACTCCCGTGAGGAGATCCAACACGTGCTTGACTTTCACATCCCGGACCCCAGCGCGCCGCTCAAGGATCCCAATGTCGCCAAGTTTTTTTCGGAGCAGTTCGACAAGTTATGTTTTGGGTGGATGATGACAGAGGACGATGCGAAGAAGGGTGTTGAAGGCATGGAAGGCGTACAAATGCCCATCACACACGGATGTCGCTTCCGTAGCAACGAGCCTTGTGAAGACTATTTCGCACTGGGGACATCACCAGGCCCAGGGGATAAGCTGTGGAATTACTGGACGGTGCTAGATGGACACGCAGGACGCCACACAGCATTCTATCTGCAATGGACATTAATCCCCATGGTCAGCTCCGCCCTAACCAGCCTGTCACAATTCGCCTCAAGCCCAGAAGTCGAATCCACAATAAAGCGTGCCTTCCTCAACATCGACAAGACAATCATGGACCGAGCAAAGACTGCCGCAAACTGGTTTCCTGCCGCGAACGGCGCCGCGATCGCTGCTCTCACCCCAGCCTTCTCAGGTTCCTGTGCTCTCCTAGCAGCCTTTGATCCTCAAACCTCAAGATTACGTGTAGCATGCACGGGCGACTCTCGCGCTGTGCTTGGCCGCTGGGACCCGACAACAGATTCATATACCGCAGTTCCATTATCAGAAGACCAAACCGGATTCAACGCCAAAGAAGTCGCGAGACTGAGCCAAGAACACCCGGACGAGTCCGTCATCGACCCCAAAACAGGTCGTATGCTCGGCATAGCAGTGACGCGGGCTTTCGGTGATCATCGCTGGAAATGGGACAATGAGTTCATCAAAGCTGTCCAACACAAGTTTTGGGGTACTGCGCCGAGACCTGGTAGTAAAAGCCCTCCGTACATGACTGCTGAACCTGAGATTACGGAAACAGAAGTTGTGAGACGAGAACCTGGCGACGGGAAAGGCAAGAGCGACTTTATGATTTTAGCTTCTGATGGTCTTTGGGATCGTATTTCTTCTGAACATGCTGTGGAATGTGTTTCTAGGTACTTGGCCGCCCGAGAGCGAGGTCGGGGATCCGTCAAACAGGATCCGGAGTTGCTGGCTAATCCACCTGTCTTCCCTACCACATTTTCCTCCCTCGACCCTGGTGTTACCGTCGACCCTGAACAAGGCCAAGAAGTAGATTGGAAAGCAACGCCAGAGTACTTCGCCATTGAGGATGAGAACGCAGCTGTTTGTCTAGCGAGGAATGCCATGGGTGGAACTAGGAGGGGGTTGTTTTTGGGTATCTTAGCGGGTCCTGAGCCATTAAGTCGGAATGCTGTGGATGATACTACAATCATGGTAGTTTTCTTCGATAAGCTGGGCGATGGCAAGGGAGAAGGAACGGGAGCGGCGAAGAAGAAGATGGAGAAGAAAGAGAAGAAGTGGTGGTGGCCGTTCTGAAAAGGGAGGTAACGTACTTAAGAAAGACGGAAGATTTGGAGAAGGCATAATCATTCCATCGTCTGATTTCAGACTACTGTATGGTCTGGAGGATTTATGGAAACTCAACTCCATGAGACAGTGTGTACAAACAAGCAGAGTAGTAATATCCTCAGTCCCAATTATCAACGCCCACTGCCAACCGAAGCCATACAAATGCCACAGAACCATGTATTCCCCACTGAGAAGCAACAACGCAGCATGTGAAGCCGATTAAACCTCAGAAACGCGTAACAACCTCGCCCGCCTCCTCAGTTGAACGTTTCCTCATCGTCATCATCACCTTGCACTGATGCTCGGTCTGCAGCTGATACGACCGTTCCAGCAGTGAGCCTGGGAAAAGCATGTTGCATCCCATGCCCCATCCAATTACGTGTGAAATGCAAGCCCAAGCCTACCCAAGCTCCCTTGCCCATCTTCCAATACATACATCTTGTAGCCCACTTGGTACTTGCATATACGACACCAAATCTTTCTCTGCAAGCTATGACGGCTTTTCGAGCCTTGTTGAGGGCAAGAATAGATGGCGAAGCATTGTAATACTATTGTAAGAAGTCTCTTTGAACATTGATGAAAGCACCGGGACCGCCGTCGTCGGCGAGTTCGTTGACTAAGGCTTCAGTCTGCTGGATTAGGCGTTCGAGAGCGGCGGAAGAGGATTTGCCTAGAGAGACTGCGACTTGTTAGCGTAGGTTTTCAGTGCAAACGACACCCAAGAGAGGTTGTTCGGAGATCTTCGTCGTCTCTGGATCATGAACGTACCTAATATGGCACTGTTTAGCTCCTCAGCGACTGGCGCACGACCAGATATCTCTAGCAATGGCGCTAACGAGCTTTCCCGTGCATCTGCATAGGCAATGAGCGCGAAAGTGTCTTCGAGCGCCCGCTTGACTTCCCGTCTCGGATCGTTCGCGAATTCGGATTTTAGCTCCATGCCATAAGCTATTGTCTCACTCGTCGCCCGTTCGCTCTTTACTATCTTGTCTTCCATGTCATCCTCTTCTCCATCTTCCAACTCATCGTCTTGATCCTTGTTGTCCCAACTTGGTGGTGGGTTATGTACACCTAGTTGCTCATCAAGCTCCATCTCGAAATCGTACTCGTCGGTAGCAGTTGAGTTACGCTTGTTGGCTGCGGAGGCAGTCGATCTTTTGGAGGATGACGCTGGTGCAGATTGACATTGTGCGTTTAACTCTCCGCATCGCCGGATCATCTCGATGAATTTCCGACAGCGGAGTTTGAAGTAGATGTTTTCGTTGTCACGGAGGACCGAAGGGTAGTATGCACTCGTATGCTTGAGCGCTTTGTCAATATCGCCCTCGAGGATCGCTGTACGTATTTCTGGATCCTGTCAGTTTTGTCGTCCATAGACTCTTGAATGTACGTACTTTGTCGATTGAGCGCATCCAGATCTTCTACTGCCGTGCGGTAGGGAATGTCTGCCTCTTCATCGTTCGCAAGCGCTCTCGCTTCATCTACAATTTCATCTGAGAAAGCTCGTGCTGTTTCTACGTAGCCATCGTGCGCCAAATACTGCCCCACCAGCCGGTGTATCAGCGCGTCCTCGCCTCCCAGTACGCTCGCTTCGGTCTTGGTTCGAGTGATTTCGGTTTGTATGGCTGCCTTCTCATCCTGTACCATCTTGTCGATATCGAAAGCGAAGGGTTCTTGACCGAAATTGACGCGGACCGTCTCGCCAGGCTTCTTCATGCCTACCGTGGGATAGTATGGCACGTTGAGTTTCAAGTCTCGAAAGGCCGTCCCTGGACTTGTTAGTGCTATCCAAGTCTCCATATCTAGAGTGCTTACCTAGCATGTGCCCATTCTTGGTGAAGAAGGCGGTATTTGTCCGGAAATTGATGCCACAGCCGATGACGTCCAGCGTGCCGAATTTGGGTCCATACGACTTCCCAGAGGTGGTGTTACTGAAGATCTGCCCATCGTCGCCATGGTATGCATACGAGTCGGGCTCCCAACCCGGTATCCTACTGAGAGCAACCTTTTGTCCAGAGAAGCCAATTCCGATCATTCTACTGTATCGTGAATCAGCACATGTCTTGCCCACATGGAAGATATACATACCCGTCTTTGCCTTTGGAGATAACAGTCATCTCGTAGTAGTAAATCCCACACTGCCGTGGCATAGGAAAGTCTGCCCGTACCGATGCCGCTTCATCGTGAGTCTTCTGGGTGCCTGAGAACTTGGCTTGCCTTCCACTATCCTCAAGCTCTAGTTGAGGGAATCTGTCTGCATCGTTCCATCGTGTTGGCCATGGCGCCACCGGCTCATCCACAACAGGCGCGCGCTCCACTACCTCATGCGTGAGACCTCGGTGTGATGGCGCCATCTTGTGCAGATTGGCGCTGCTCGAACTCGTAGACAGCGAGCCCGCATTTGACGAGTGTGTTGACTTGTAATCCCTCTGGGCTGCTAGCTTCGCTTTGTGCACCTCTTGCAACTTCTCGGCGTGCTTGGACCCGCGCAGGTAGGAGGGCACGAAGAATGGAGGTATGTCTTGAGCCGACCCTCCCAGGCCATGCCAATATCCAGCTTGGCTGGAGTATGAGGGCAGCAACCCGCCGGACCTTCCGAAACTCGTAGACATGTGGCCGTCGGCGTCGATGGAGCGAGAGAGGCGGTTTGGGTGCGATGTCGAGGCGCTGTTGGCGAGATGCGCAAAGGCACCGGATCGGGTGGGTTGCTGGAATGAACTGTTACTGCCTGCTGATCCGGCAGCAGCGACCCTGGCGTAGCTGTCCCGACGAGCGTTCATGGTGAGCGATAGTGGCGCTAAACAGCTACCAGTATGTCCGTGGTGACGCCTTGGAGCGATGACAGCAGGATGTCGCGCAAATTACGCGAATAGCAATGGTCGGGCTGGCCGTGGTAGTGGCGGGCGAAGATTGGAGAGGTCCAACCGTGTGCGAACGCGTGGGCTAGCTGTGGATGGTGCCGAGTGAATGCGGTACTCTGTGTTGGAAGTTGCCAACGGTTCTCAGGCAAGAATCAAGGGCATCCGGGCTTCTGTGAAGCTATCGTCACAGATACATGCATCATTTGATGGACAGGGAGCTTTGCTGTAGGTAAAGCTAGCAATGAGGTGCAGTGCAAGTGGTACGTCAATGAAGGTCCATGGCCGGAGGTTTGGATCCAGCCGAGCTATCGGTGGAGATCCCCGCAGTCACCACGGGGATGATAACGCCATCCAGGTCACGCTCACATTGATCCCGACATGGACGCTAGACACATGGATCAAGTACTTGTAGTCAGTTATTGATATTCGATATTCTCAGAATGTGCTATGCAAAGCCCCTTTTTCCTCGCCATTCGGAAACCAGGTCCATCTCTAGTACATGTAGCTGTCCAGCGACGTGCTTGTGCGCCAGACACCATGCTGCCTGTGGCAAGCCGTGGAAAGTCCCAAATTACGCCTTATACATAGTTATGCAATGCGCTCCGTGAACGCCGAACAAGACAAAGAAAGCAAATTGATGTAAAAAGACATGTCGCAAGAAATAAAGTGATGTGAGGCCGCAACAGGCGCAAGCCATATTACAAGTCCATCAAGGAGGACAAGACCAATGATGGGCAAGACTCAAGCGGGTATAGGGGCGGGAGAGCTTGCCATGCCGTTCATCGCTGTCGGCACCGGTGTACTGTCACCGTTGAGTCCGCTCTTGTCGCTGATTGCGCTGCTCTCGTCCTTCAGCTTGGAGTCGCTAGTGCCAGTGCTGTCGCTCTTGACGTCGTCGGGAAAGGCGCCTTTGCGGCCTGGCTGATAGGTAGGCACTTGCCACATGACGCCGGTGAAGCTGCGGACCTGGAATCCCTTCTTCTCCCATCGACGGCACTTGGCCCCTGACCTGTCGAGGGCGCGCAGGCGCTCGTTGATGGCTCCCAGGTTTGCCTTGGGACCTGCCTTGTTGATGGCTGCGGGTGTTGGGAAGGGCCCCTTGGAGTTGGGGTCGTTGATCATGTCGCCCATCTTCTTCCTCTTTGGCCCTGGCTTGGCCTTGGGTTGCTTGGGCGGTGTCGCGGCGCTCGAACCAGCCTCCATTTGCGCGGCGTTCCGCTTGCTACCGGGCTTTGGGCCCTTCCTCTTGGCGGCGGGAGGAGCAAGCGACGAGGGCGTGCTTCCGTCCATGTTGGGGGTTGAGTCGGCGGGTGTGGCAGCAGGCGTGGGTTCGTTGATTTGCGGCGCAGGCGTTGGCGGAGATGGCTTGGCCTCTTCCTTGGGTGGTGGTGTAGGCTGGCGTGAGAATTTGTTCAGGTGGTCTGGTGACAGCTTGAGTGTGACGACGAGGGTCTTTGGTGATTTCGTGGTCATGTTCGCGTGCAGGCCGACGCGGTGGTGGTGTGTGTAGATGGCTGCAGCGGATGGTGGCAGAGCTGGTGTTGGGGGGTTTGGCCTGCAGCGGTGAGGGCAAAAGACAGTGGCTCTGCCTGTCAGCGCGTTGGCGTCTCGGTGGCTAGGGGGAGCAAGCCTGGTGAGCCGTGCTTCACGTAAAGTCGAGAAGGTATCGTCGGGCAGATGAAGCGCGCCGATGCAAACAGTTGGGGGGATGGGGACGAGGATGGGAAGGGAGAGTGGGTGGTGAAGAAGGTTGCCGCAAAGGCAAAGAAAGGGCTTCTTCGGCCCAGCTGGGGTCGTCGGTGTCCCAGATCATATTGGTCGCTAACGTCTTCCTCTTCGCTGCCGACACTCACAAGAGGTGCCCGCAGGTGAGGACGCACGGGCCAGACACGCTAACCCCCTTTAGATGTCTGGATATCCTAGGACAAGCTGTTTATGTCTTTGATGGCATCGAATTATCACTTGCGCATTCCCTTTTGCTGTCCGTCTGCTTGCTTGCTGCGCCCTTCCTGTTTTCCGCGTTCTGCTGAGAGGTCCGTGTGGCATTGAAGCTAAATTGCGCGTCCCAATCCAACGGCGGTAGAGAAGCATCGCGCATCGCCCACCTCATTACCTAGCTCAAACATTCTTTCGTCCGAGACAATCAGATCCCTCCGTAAAAGCCGCGTCTGTACTTGGCCTTTCCTTGCGTTTTTGCTCCTGCCTGCACTGCGTCGCGCCTTGCATCCTTGTCTACCTTCGCACCGTGCGAGTCTCAGCTCGCACTTTTACCGCTGACTCTCCTGCATCGCCCCTTGGCCTGACCACGATCCGCAACCAAGAAAACCCGTCGACAACCAATGCCGAATGACGTTTATGAACATGCCGCGGACCCTACTGTAGCTTACATAGCAACTCTCGACAAGTACTTGCTGTTGCCGTTGGTCTAGGTCCTTGTCCAGATGGGTTCCGTACTGCCACTATCAAATGATGCGGGTTTCTGTTTCATTACTGTCTGCGCATTGTGAGGCGACGCAACGCCAGCCGAAGTCAACCCGTGTCAGTATTTGCAGATTGAACGGTTGACCCAGTCACGACCATGGAAAGGGGGTTTCTTGGTTATCAGAACATCAATAGGCTTTTATCAATATGCGAAGAGAAAAAATGGTAAGGATGTCATACAAGTTCCACGGCGTCAGAATCTGGTGTGTTGTCAGTCTTTCTTCAACTGTAGATACTTAGGTAAAGTTCTTGTGATTTATGCTACAACTTGTTCAATTGGCGCGTACAGAAACTCTTCTAGTCCTTACTTGACGTCCCTTCGACGCGCTATTTAATTAGTTCGTGTTCAGATGGTATAATGTACATAATTGGAATTGAGGGCTGGTTTTTCTACTGAAAACCATCGCTTTCCTGTATACAATTTCAAGCAACTTTTCCGGCATTCTGAATCCTACTGTCATGCTCACTACTCAATAGAATTTACATTCATGGAGGGAATACATTCAGGCTTAGAATTGTCTCATAAATTATTGGCACCATAAGACAGATTTGTATAGTACATACCGTGTGTTTCCATTAAGATGTTTCCAAAAAAAAAAGACATCAAATGTTCTCGCACAGCAGGGTCTTCTATAACGTAATAAACGTACGATCAAGTCGTAGTATGACGTGTTGTGGGAAGGCGACCATTTAGGTCGTTTCCAGGGTTTTCTTCCACAAGGAGCAGTTTCCGGGACAATGAAGTGATCCTCCGTCGCAAATACTTAAAGTCCAGATTTAATATAGCCTTGGCAGCGGGTTTTCAGCTTGTGAGTCCTTTGGGTCCAGTTTCACTGTGATCGGCTAAGAGCATCGTAATACATTTGCCTTAACGGTAGTACCATACTTTGTGTGTTGGTTGGATGAATAATAAATGAATGGAGCGCAACGATCAAGGTAGCGGCGACAAAAACTAAATGGTTGAAATTCAGACAAGAAAATCAAGATCAAGGTCTCGTCTGAACACCTAACTGAGCTCCTCGACAGCTGCATGTGAAAAACATGATCATTATCTCAATGTGTTTATGTCTCCGTAAAGAACAAGCAAAATTGTGAACTGGCATGACTTTGTATTAACACTGTATTTGCTATGGCGCCTTCTTGTCCCCTCATACGGTAGACTATGGCTCAGATCAATGCTCATCTTACAAAACTTATTAGTGTAGCGCCCCTTGACGTGATGGGAGACATGCCAGACGCTTTGTCTCGTACAGCTTTGCAGCGAAGTAGTCGGAAATCGCTTCCTGTTATCATCATCCGGCTCGCCGTCTTTTAGTACCATTCACTGTGGTACCGTTAGCTCTTCGTGCCTCATCACCACTAACTGCCACCTCATCGTCGTTCATCCATTCTCTACCAGCACCAGGACTGCGCCGTCTGAACTGACCAGCACCGACTGCCACGACTTCGTCCTCACTATCACTAGCCTCTATATCCAACAATACGGGCATCCTGAATTCTGCGTCTCCTATAGCCGGTCCGAATTCTGTAGCCGAGGTCTTAACTGGGTCTACGGTGAGAACATCGACTTCTTCGTCTTCGGCGTTTAGACGTCGCTTGTGTAGCTCCTCTAGAGGCTGTATGTCGAACTCGTCTTCGCGCTCGATGTATTCTACGTTCTCTTCTACTTCGACGAAATCCGGTGCGAGGGCAGACCAACGTTGGGGCTGGAGAATGGACCAGAGCCAGACGCGACCAGAATCCACTCCGACAGCAGCGACGAAAGGTCGGAATGGGTGCCATTCGACCACAGACAGCTCCTCCTTGGTGCCTTCCAGGATCTTGACCAAACTACCTTGTCCACGTTCCCACACGTAAATGTGATGATTCATCCAGGTAGAGGCCGTGACGTATTCGCCTGAAGGACTGAATGATACATGGTTCCAGGAAAGCCTCTGTACAAGATCCTGGAACTTATGTTCAACTTCCAGCTGGAGTGTGTCGAAGTCCAACTTTGGGTCGCTCAAGTCAGGTAGATGAAGTGTCCTGACGATACGATCGCTGGAGTTGAGCACAACGTCTCTGCCCGAGGGCGTCAAGCGAATGTAAACGATGATGTTGTTGGTGACCCTGAAAGAGTAGCGTACTCGGTGCGTCTCGGTCTCTATAATGTTCAGCCACCCCTTGTTTGTGCCTGCTATGATGTGTTGGCCAGTGGGTGAGAAGAGCGTCATAGTGGTCGTCTGCTTGGCATCCTGGGCCGTCTGCTTCTCGGAAGCGTTCTCGCGTTCTATGTCGGTTCGGTGGGGCGCGGACGATAGGGAGTGCTTGACGGGGACTTCCTCGGACATGTCGACGATGACAGGCTGGTCTTCGAAGAGGGCAGCCACAAAGACCATACTAGACTGAATTTAGCGGGCTGCCTGTAGGCATCATGTATGTACTTACTGGTTCTTTGGGTGCAGCTCTGCTATGAAGATGGCTGCCTCAAAGCGGACAGTGCGCACCCGCGAGCCATCCTTCAGGTCCCATAGCACACACTTCCAGTCCTGCCCAGCGCTGAGAAGGTAGCGATCATTCGTGGACCAGCTGAGCGACTGAACCTGGCGTGTGTGGCCGCGAAGCTTGCGCGCGACGCCGTTTGTCTCGATATCGAATATGACGACTATGCCGTCGTGCTGGAATCCAATCAGCGGAAATCACATGTAAGGGCGTGACATTCGCGTACCCGTCCGGACGCAAGCAGGTCGCCGCGGTGGCTGAAGCGAATTGAGGTTGAATGGCCGCTGCCTACGCGTTGTGAGTCACTGCAGTGTATAGTCAAGTCGACATATTAAACTCACGAAGGCGGCCGGTGATGACATCGGGGCAGTCCTGCGCAAGGACAAAGGGATCAACCAGCGAGAGATTCATGGTCGTGCACTGCAGACAGCGGGGTGTGCAGAAGAGCAAGCTCAATTAGCAGCATCTTCGCAGACGCGACGGCTGTTGTCCATGAAGTGAGAGTCTGGCGCGCAAAGTGAGAGTTTGGCGGTGGCAGTCAATCCGCTCTGGTCAGCCCTGGCGAGCGCAGTCGGCACGTGAGGGCCGACTAGTGTCAATGCGGCAGGAACTGTCTCTTTGTCGCCTTCTTGCTTCTACCAGAGCCACGCCCTCACCACCACCCCACCCGCCATCACCAACGGCCGCTCCTTCATATTTAGAGCGCGTCTTCTACCTCGCCGACCCCAATAGTGCTCACCGGAGCGCTTTTAATACGCGCGCAAGACTCCCGTCTTGAGGCGCGCCCAAGCGAGCCCCCGACCCCCGTACAGCCCTTTTACACGGGCGCCACTCTCCGACCGCATCTCTTCTCGCGCGCGGCGCGCATTACTCCATTTAACATCAGGAGCAGCCGTCGACATAGCTACCACGGCAGCCCAATTTACTACTTAATACGCGGAGGAACCGCCCGGCGTGGCCACCGCGACCGTCGACCGCTAGACAGGTCTCTAGGCTTCCTCTCACCCACAAAACCCTTTCACTGCCGCCAGCATGCCTCCGGGCGCGCCCCAGGTGTCGAAATGTCCGCTCCGGACCATCAAGGAGATCCAGTTCGGGCTGCTCTCTCCCGAGGAGATCAAGGCCATGAGTGTCGTCCACATCATCTACCCGGAGACCATGGACGAGCAGAAGCAGAAACCGCGTGAGCAAGGTCTCAACGACCCCAAGCTCGGCACTATCGACCGCATGTACTCGTGCGCCACGTGCAAGGAAGATATCCAGACCTGCCCCGGTCACTTTGGTCACATCGAGCTGCACACACCCGTCTTTCACGTCGGTTTCGTTGTGAAGATCAAGAAGCTCCTCGAGACCGTGTGCCATACCTGTGGTCTCATCAAGGCTGACTTCGTAAGTCTTCCCACGTGAAGACAGAGACTTCAGACTCCTGGATTTTGTGCTAACTGCAATATCAGAACCATCCTGACTGGGCCGCTGCCGCCAAGACCAAGGATGCGAAGAAGCGTTTTGAC